ACAAACGTTGGTCGCTGCAACCTGTAGTTTATATTTGTGATGACTTCAAGGAACTCGGCTGTCGTAGAGATAGTTACAGATGGTGTAAATTTCCGCAACCAGCTGTCTACAAACCAGCTGGTTGCGATCTTTACACTGAAGAAAACTGATGATGCTGTCCGAGCAGAAGCTTGATCCGTTTGAGCATGATATGTGTGAACCACTGAAAGGGTAGGCCTTAAAACTAGTCCGTTGGAATATCCAGCAAAACTTTTCGTGGGACTTTTGATTTCGATCGTCATTACAGATGGATCAGATATTAGCCTTGGTGAGGGCATCGAGAACGAGAGCTTTCTCGAACAAAATACGATGGGGCAAGTTAGCTGACGTAGGTAAATGTTAAACATGTTGATGTTGCCTAAGCCTCGGGTAAAGTCACTATGTTTAGCTTTCTCTCATGCTTATTGGGCAGTCAGAGGTTTCTGCTGGGGGAGTTTTGTCGACAAATGTTGAATTTTTCACCCGCACACGGATAATGATAAACCTCTCGGGGGCCGCTGATGTGTTTGTTCTGGGCATTTCTTTACACACTGGTATATTTCAGCATCTGTATGGCAACAGAGTGACTTAAAACCTGCAAATAAAGCATGGTTTGTCAATTGCTTCTCTCTTGAAATAGCAGACACTCACAATTCAAGCTCGCATTTGATTCCGTTGCTTGCGGGACAAGATTTCTATCAGAAGATCTACTTTGTTTCATTTCGGTTCCGCGACACATTGTAGCAGACAAACCCTCGTCGTCCGCTCCCGCTCCTCGCCGAAGCGAGGCATGACAGGATTGCATTTTGGCGCACTCTTGATTTCCTCGGTGCAGCGAGTGCATGCACGCGTGGGGTGTCAGCGATGAAACAAACTCGGAGAGTGCAACCACTCGTGGAGTGCCGGCTGAAACGAACCCGCTCCACGCTGCAAGTGGGCACGCGTGGGCATGAGTGCCGTAAATGGTGGTCTGAATTGCTACACTTTCTGAGCTAACTACTTTAGATGAGATTAGGATGTAGCTCTCAATACATGCCTTGCACGTGACCTCACATCAGCCGTATCTTCTGCAGCATACATATCGCACCATCCCCTCGGCCATCTTTACTTGTTCTTGCTGAGAACAAATTCGATGGTGCGAAGTGTATGCTGCCGAAGGTACGGGCAAAGGGGCATGGTACGGAGCAATGGCGGCTGATACAATGTCAATGCAAGCAATATATATCTATAGACCGTTTTACTGAAAGAGGGCGAAAGAGAAATGGGGAAAAGGCTACCGGCACTGTCCCCCTCGTTGGGTGGGTAAAAAGAGTGAAAGTCCCAGATGAGAGGCTTCGCCGGTGTTGGGTGTCTGCAGTGCCCGAACTTTGTTCGCGCTTTCTTCTCTGTTTTAAATTTGCAAACTTAATTAGAGCCACGGGCCTTGATGGCGACAGTCCCCCGGTCATTGGGACACCATTGCTCGGCCATAGGGTGCGCGAATAACGACAGAAAGCTTTGAATATTGTCCGAGGAGCTATGTAGCTTGCAAGGAATCTGCCAAGGCGAGAGCGGCTGCAACGTTCTTAAGCTTAATCGCTTTCCACATGACCCCAGTCTCCGGCAGCAGTGGATTGCGTCCGTAAACCGAAAAGATGTTTCCTCAACGCCATCCTCCTGACTGTGCTTGGAACATTTCGTTAATGGAGCGCGCACCAAACACTGTAACGCCGATGAACATGGGGTACACACGCAAGGTGCGTACGAGTTTTCTCGTGATAATTGCTGTTTCAGCTTGTAAAATTTTGTAACTGAATTTATCTTAATATTGATATTTTGCAGTGGTGACATTGACTCGATTTTATCATCTACAACACTTAGTTTTAAGGCTTATTTACACCGCCGGGTGTGGCTGGCAATCGTTGAAAAGTTAGTTCTATCGGTTTTCCTGGATCGCGAGCTCCTGCGCGATACCAGAGAGCCGGCAAAAGCACTCCTTGGAATGCCGCTGGTGGGTTGTTTCCGTTGATTGGGCGCTTTGGAGCACTGGATATTCGCTGCAGGGTATGTCTCGTGTGTTGCGGTCTGCGTTTTCGAGCCCAGTGTGCACGTTTCTTTCTTTAAGTCATGGCATCCGTAAGTGTGGCGACGGCGGGAACAGCGGCAGCAAACACGCCAGCGATAAAAATTGGAGGCAAGTACTCAAAATATTGCATCAAATAGTAAAATAATTCGTGGTTGCTTTGAGTGAGGCTTTCTGCGGTTCGATATAAGCACATCTAGAACGTCTTCATCGTTCATCCACATGGAAAATAAGAACACGGACACGCAACATAAGAGCAGCGCAGCGAAACGATCAGGGCAGCTCCGGGTGTTTCCAAAAGTTAATTGAGGTTCCCATGTCGTGTATCGCTTGTTGATTGCTAAAAACGGCTATGTTAAAATAGGTCCATTGCAAGCAAAAATGGATAAATGGTTTATCAGTTCCAGCCATGTGCAAAGCGATAGAGCTTAAAAACGTTGCAGCCGTACTCGCCTTGCCGGATTCCATGCAAGCTACATAGGTCCTCGGACAGTATTCGACGCTTTCTGTCGTTATTCGTGCACCCTGTGACCGAGCAATAATGTCCCAATGAACGGGGGACTGTCGTCATTGAAGCCTGTGGCTCTAATTAAGTTTGCGAGTTTAAAACAAAGAAAAATGAGTGAACAAAGTTTGGGCACTGCATACACCAGACACCAACGAAGCCTCTCATCCGGGATTTTCACTCTTTCTACCCACCCAGCGAGGGGGAAATTGCCGGTAGCACTTTCCCCTCTCGAAATGGCACTACCCACGATAAAACGGTCTATACATAGCTTGCATGTTACGTCACAACGCCCTGCCCTGTGCCGCCATTGCTACATACCAGCCGGAGAACCTTGTGCTCCGTGCAGCCCGTGCAGCCGTCCGCTTTCTACGCAACTTGATTGCTTGCCGTTCCTTTTTCCTGCTGTTCGTCGGACATTATACATTGTTTAAAGCGATATAGTATATCGAGAAGTAGCTTAAGCTACCTTCTTGGGTGAAAAATGCAGTCTCCGGAAGAGCGGATGCTGCCTCTTTGCGGTGGTTATTTTGATCAGCTGGTTGGTCCTACAAGAGCCGGGTACGTGAAAAAAGTGGAACTTTGCGTCGGCGAGGGCACTTGACGACCGGCGCAGTTTTCTTCTAGAACGGCGAGGAGACATACTAAACGTTTACCGTGAGCATGACGCTTCAAGAGATGAAGGTTTTCAAGTCTTTGAAATAGCACTACTGCAGGGGCTAGAACCGCAGGCGTGAAATCCATGCCGAGTATGAGCACTCTGCAATGAGTAGTTCGTGTATGCGAGCGCAAATGCCGGGATTACCTTTCTCGGTCGTACCCCACATTTGAACATCGTGATTATGGAGTAGTTCTCAACCGTCGTAGACCGTTTAGGCTTGCGTAGCGCGCGCATGTGGTAAGCATAACGATAGCTTACTCGTTTTCGCAACGCCGTGCGCGTCCTTCGTCATTTAACAAAATGTATGTACCAGACTCAAATCCTGGACATTTGGCTGTCTCGACCGTGACCTGACAAGGAAGGTCGGGACCCGGCATCTTTTTGTGAAAACTCGGGACAGTTCCGCGATATCAGGGACGGTTGGACTTACTTGGAAACAGTCGACGGTAGTGTCGATGTGGCCGCTGAGTACAGGGCAGGCCACCACGGCATCCTTCAACCCACGAAGGGTTGCTGTCGTCAGTTGGCATTTTCTCTTTATGTTTGCATGTGGAACACACACGAGGCACATTCCGCTCGCCATGTTTACACGACTGGTAGTGGTTCCAACCACGACCAGTTCCAACGGCGCTTACTCGCGTTTTCTAAAGGCGCTTAAAAATTTCAAATACTCAAAAACAAATTTCCTCTACGTCTCAACCTCACGAGCTCCACTAAAAAGCTACGCCTAGTTCCGTGTCCTAGGTTGCGGTACCAGCGGTATACATTGTACCACGTGCTTTGTACGCGGCGCTGAACGCGAGTTTGTGGATTGGATTGGCTCTGCCAAGACAACCCAAAGCAGCCAAGCCCATAGCGTCGAAATTGATTGTACAGAAGGTACAGAAGCTACAGAAGGTACAGAAAGCAAAAAGACGTACTCAAAAAAAACTTTTTTTTTCCCTCCCACGAATAAAAATTAAAATCTCTCGAGGCATAAAAAAAGTAGAAAAGGAGTCTTTGCTTTTATATAACCTGAACCAAACTCAAATAAACGTTTTTTTGTTTTTTTTTTCGTCGGTTTGTTTTGCTTGTCTTAGACTGGTTATGGTTATGTTGTGTGTATTCGTGTCAATTTCGCCTGCAACGTTTTCACCTATTCCCTGCTTAACGTAGCCTACATTTAAGTCATCTCATGCCTTAAAACAAAATACTTTGGCAATAAAAAAAAAAAAAAAAACTGCATACGACCTTGTTATTTCTAAAGCCACTAAATAAGCGTGGCACCAGTCATCTCCTTCCCGCAAATAGCCGGGGCGCCGGGGCAGGGGCTACGAGCCGAGAGTCGCGCCTACAGTGTGTTGGAATCATGCCGCTCGTCAGTTTGATCTGATATCGTAAGTACATCTGGACGCCGCCATCTTGCTTTTGGGGTGCGCACATCCTTGTAAAAAGATAATCTTGAACTATAAACTCGTTTTCACTACGAAAAAAAAAAAGCGCGTTTTGCGCTTAGTTCATACGCAGCGCGAAGCGGACCCTGCAAGATGTGTTAAGAAAACAAACAAAAATGTTTTTACTTAAATAACCGGAAAGAATGAACACAAATTCGGAACGAAAACAGACGCATACAACTCTGAAAGATGATGATGAATTTCTTTATTGAGTAAAGATGGCTCGATGATGTTTTAATAAAACAACCAATAACTTCCCTTGTATGCGCATAAAAGTATCTCAGCGCTCCGCGTGAAAAAGAATCGGGACTTCTTTTTACTATGATTCTTGACGTGAAAACGAGTAAAAGCTTAAGAAAGAAAGAATAGGAGACTACATACAGCTACCGTAGTACAGCTGACTATCAACGATGTTTAAGTTTCGACTACTTCTTCCTTGCGCGTTTTCTTCCTCCATTCAGAGGCAAGCAGCCATTGCATGTATGGGTATTGATGACAATGAAATGAAGCCAGTCGTCAGACGCACGATACTTGTGCCTTACTGTGTATTACACATTCACTCCTTGTCCTCTCGCTCCTGCAGATGCCTGGAGTGCGATATTTTTGCTGCCCTAAGTGCAAATGGAGGACGTTCACCCTGAGGGCGTTATTCCGGCATTTTCACGGCAGTCATGGCCACGAAGGAAATTGGACTTGCCGGCTACAAGGCTGCCTGAGGACATTTTCTCGTTATGTCCCATACAGGAGGCATGCTACCCGTACCCATGCCACCTTACTTTAAGGTGACACCGCTGAACATTCCAACAAGCCCCGTAATGCCAGAAGTAATCAGTGTTTGCCCCCGGAGGACGTTGAGGGCAATGAGGAAGTCGAGGACAACGTGGAAGTCGTTGACCACCAGATGCAAGATAATGGAGATCTAGTAAGACCACTTGCTCTACTGTTCCTTAAGTGGAAAGAAGGAAGACGGCTTCCAGAGTCTACATTGCACGAAATTGTAAATGACATCCTCTGATATCTTGAAAGGTTTGCTGAGCACTGTACACTACCACAATCTGATGTCAATTTGCAACTACAGCTCAAGTCCCAGTCTCTTATTGACCTAGAACAACTCCAAACTAGTTCTGGTCGGAGTAGCTACTGGAAAGCATGCTTTCCATTTGTGGAGCCCGAGTGTGTGTTCTTGGGGATAGGTAAAAGTGGAAAAAGACAGACTTTCCAGTATGTTTCAATCTGTAAAATGCTCAAGTGCATACTTGAAAGCCCTGTAGCGTGGAGCGACTTCCAGAGCCAGCCCGAGGAGGATGGTTATTTGTCCACTGTTTTTGACGGTACAGCCCACCATGATCATGCCTACTTTCAGGGTGACCGGAAGAAAATCTGTGTTCAACTATACAGTGATGAGTTTGAAGTGTGCAACCCTCTTGGAACTAAGAGAGGTAAACATAAGCTAACAGCAGTGTATTTCTCTGTTCTAAACTTTCCCCAAAAGGTTAGATCCCGTTTGTCAGGGATACACCTGGCCCTGCTGGTCAAAGACAAGTGTGTCGCTTCTTATGGCCTGCATAAGATCTTTGATCCGCTTGTACGTGACATAGCTGAGCTCGAAAAGAATGGCATTATTGTGAATGGGGAGGTTATCTATGGTTCAGTACTCGCAGTGACTGGAGACAACCTCTCTAGTCATAGGCTAGGTGGGTTTAAATGCAGTTTTAATTATGGCAGAATCTGTAGATTTTGCTTGGCCCTTCACCATGAGATCGCACACAAGCATCTTGAACAAGATTTCGTTCAGCGGTCTCCTACAGGACACAGACATCACCTTGACATGTTAATGTCAGGGGCACCGTGCAGTTCTTTGTATGGAGTGCGAGAGCCCTGTGCCCTGAACTTCACTGGCTTTGAGCCAACAGAGCACCTGCCTCCCGACGTGATGCACGATTTGCTAGAAGGTGTCATACCTTTTGTGATGAAGCATGTGATTTCGCACCTCATCTCTGGTAACTTTTTTTACCCTGAGTGCGCTGAATACATGTATTCTTGACTTTGACTATGCACCGTGTGATCTCAGAAACAAGCCTGAAGAGATATCCAGTGGTTACCTGAAGGGCAAGTCAAATATCTGGGGCAGTGCTTCCCAGATACTCTGCTTCTTTAGACATTTTTCTTTGTATGTTGGGCAGTCTGTTCCAGCTGGAAATGAGGTCTGGGCAACATATTTGTTGCTTAGAAAGATCGTTGAGATTGTCATGAGTCAGAAGATCCCTATAACACATGTTCCTTATCTTCAGAGACTAATCCACTTTTTATGTCTTGAGTTTAAAGCACTGTTCCCATCCACAGCCGTCCCATGCAAGATGCATTATTTGACGCACTACCCCTCCTACATAATGAGGTATGGTCCTCTGGTTAGTTTGTGGGCGATGCGTTTCGAATCGAAGCATCAGTATTTTAAGGACGTCTCCCGCAAGGTTCGAAACTTCAAAAACATTGCCAAAACGTTGGCAACCAGACATCAGTACTTAGAGACTTACATTGCCCCACAAGTCAGTAGTGAAAACCAGATTGTCGCCACAGGCTGCAAGTCGGTGTTGTTCGAGCATCTGCCAGAGACGATCAAATCATACATTGTGGTACATGATCTTGCTCGAGAAAATGTAGTTGTTTTGAAATCGGTTGCCATTGATGGTTTCGTCTATTCTGAGGGTAGTGCACTGGCCCAGAATGTAGGTGAAGATGACCATGCAGAGTTTGTGCAAGTCTGTGAACTGTTTGCTGTGAATCGAAAAATTCTGGTTCTCGCACATGTGCTCGACACAATTGAATTCGATGAACACCTTCATCTGTATGTAGTGCGTGTGACAACTGAATGTGTTGTTCTGAGCGACGTGCTTAACTTCCAAACTGAGCCACTGTTTGTAATGAAAAAGATGGACAAACATGTAATTAATCTACGTCACAGTTTGTTTTGAGTGTATGGCACCACAACTCTTTAGAGCTTTAGCTGTATTGTAAAACTTAGTGCTAACTTTTTTAATTGTTTTGCTTTTCATTTTGCTTCAGTGCCCTAACATGTTTTTCCTTTTTGAAATGGTTCTTAATTTTTGTATAGCTGTGTCATCTTGTAACTATCAATGTATTTACTGTCATAACTATATGTATCTTGCTGTTCTTGAAATCTCCCCTTTCTCCTTTCACTTATGTGATGCCTTATGGTCCCTTAGGGACTGTAAAATAAATGAATGAATCTTTTTGTGACGATGAGAATAAAAGTAATTGACCCAGGGTGGGCAACCTGAGGTAAAACTGATGTGAGTCTGTGCTTATTTGTTGAAAAATAGACCAGCCTGCTAGCTAAGAAACCAGATGTTAACCTCTTTGCTCTTGAAGATGAGGTCAACCGATTCATTATCTTATTTTTATTGGACGAGGCGTGAGGTCATGCCTCCCAGGGAGAACATTGCGGGCGCATGTGCAGTGGGACCTTTTCCGCAGAGAGCAGCTCAAGCTCGGAACCTTCATTTCATTCTCAAAAGAAATGCAGAACTAATTTGCAACGTCACTAAAGGGGTGAGGTGACGATTGTGGTGCAACGAACAAGACAAATTCTTTGTAATATTGACTGTTAGTCCATATTATTTGCTGACATATTAATGGTTATTGGAAAACTTCAACAGCGCACAGAAGGATGAAGACTAAAGAGAGGCAAACAGGACAAGCACTGTAGAAGGGCTGCAGTTTCCCTCTCTTCAGCCTTCGTCCTTCTGTGCGATGCTGAAATTTTTTAATAAACAACCAACTCTCCTGTATCGCTACTTTAATGATGCTTAGATCTCTGAACAATTACATACAGCATTTCCTATTGAACTTCACAACGCTTTAGTAGCCTACATTGCACCACTGGTGTGTGACCTGAACGGCCCCGTCATCTGAGATCTCAGTAAAGAATCGTGCTAAGAAACATACGAGTATGTTAGAGATTTGCCGAGATGGCCCCAAAAACACATGCCTAACCAGCCAGCTCGTCATGCTTGGGATAATTGACGAGAACCTCATTCGGGTTTGATTGGATTTATAGGGTTACAGGGCGGTTTCATGTGACACACTTTCGGTTCAAAATGGTGGGACTATCACTGTGTGTTCCCATGTAGTTTTTTCAGTTCACTTGAATATTTTTGAATAGTGATTGATGTGCCCATTAGAATGCCGGCCAGTGCTCCATTTTTATGCGGAAGAAAAAGGCCGTGGCCAGAATGGCTCCGGCATTTTAAGCAGAAAATCAGAGGTAAACAATGCTTTTTTGAACTATACTTCGTGTCGTCTTAACATGGACCAAGCAAAAAGGCTATGAGCACGAGCTCAAGTTGGATGGTGGCTCGGCTGCAAGAGTGCTCGAGCAGCGGGGCTACCTGTCAAAGCTATCCGCCCGTGCTCATAGTCTTTGGGCTTAGTCCATGTTAAGATGGCATGAAGTATAGCGATGTCGTGAACCTGCTGAGGTTTGAGTTCGACAAGTTCCAACTTTTTCTAACTTTTGAAAAGGAGTTCGACGAAACGGGCTGTAGTTGAGCTTGTTGGTGCACAATACTATAATAGGGCCGGTTGAACCTATTATAGTTCAGCTGGCTCTATTATAGTATGACGAAAGTTCGACTGAGGTTAGACCATTATGCGAAAGCGTTGAAAGTGAAAGCAGCCTGACGGATATTTATGGGTGTTCCCTTTGAAGAGCTTGAGTATTGGATTAGATTTTGGTTCTCCATTGTGTTCACCTGCTGCACCTGAACATTGAGGAGTTCGCCAAACTGCACGAACTTTCCGGTTTGTTTTTTCTTCAATGATGCTTTCCGGTCGAGCAAGGGTCTGTCACTGCGCCTGCCGCAGGAGACGGAAACACGGACAGGCAGAGCTGCATCAGTAGAGCATCGCCCGTCGTCGCTGCGGCGAAGGGAAATATCTTTCCCTGGCGGGTGGCACTCACTCAAACGAATGACGTTTTAGCGAACAAGCCCTGCCCATGACGTTTCATCGGATGATTCTTGAGCAAAGGGCGAAGGAGTTCATCGCCGTGACCATCTCGGCCGCCGGCATTCTGTTTGCCTCTTTCCCTGATGTGCTAGCATTAGCTCGCCGAACCCTTGGCGGTTCTGACGAGATTTGGTGTAAGTATGAGCCTGAGATTATAAGCTTATAACCTATTTTCCCGGAGCAGAGCAGAGCGAAGCGAGGGGTGACCACGCTTAGCAACTCGAATGCATCGTTACTTATTTTAATAATGCTTAGATCTCTGAAATAATTACAGCATTTCCAATTGAACTTCACAAGGCTTTAGTAGCCTACATTGCAACACTGACTGTGGATCTGAAGGACCCCATCAGCTGAGACCTCAGTAAGGGATTACGCTGACAAACATACAAGTATGTTAGAGATCTGCCAAGATGCCCCCCAAAACCCATGCCTAACCTGCCAGCCTGTTATGCTTCCAATAATTTACGAGAACCATATTCGGGTTCAAGCGGATTTATAAGGTTACAGGGCAGCTTCGTGTGACGCACCTTCGGTTAAAAATTGTTGGGGAACTATCACCCTGTGTTCCCATGTAAACAAGCATAGCTTTTTTAGTTCCCTTGAATATTTTTGCATAGTGATCGATTGTGCCAATCAGATTGCCGGTCATTGGTCCATTTTTATGCGAAAAAAAAAGGCCGCGGGCAGAATGATTCCATCATTTCAAGCAGAAAATCAGCGGTAAACAATGCTTGTTTGAATTAACATGGACTAAGCAAAAAGGTGACGAGCATGAGCTGCTCGAGTTGGATGGTGGCTTGGCTGCACGAATGCTCGAGCAGCGGGGCTACCTGTCAAAGCTATCCGCCCGTGCTTGTAGCCTTTGGGCTTAGTCCATGTTAAGATGACATGAAGTATAGCGATGTCGTGAACCTGAGGTTCGAGTTCGACAAGTTCCAACTTTTGAAATGAAGTTTGACGAAATGGACTGTAGTTGAGCTTGTTGATGCGTAATACTATAATAGGGCTTGCTGAACCTAATATAGTTCAGCTGGCTCTATTATAGTTTGACGAAAGTTCGACTGAGGTTTGACTATGCGAAAGCGTTGAAAGCCTGACGGATATGTTTGGGTGTTCCCTTTGAGCTTGAGTATTAGATTGTATTTTGGTTCTTCATTGTGTTCATTTGCTCCACCTGAACATTGAGGAGTTCGCCAAACGGTGCGAACTTTTCGGTTTCTTTTTTCTTCAATGATGCTTTCCGGTCGTGCAAAGGTCCGTCGCTGCGCCTGCCGCAGAATACGGAAACGCGGACAGGCAGAGCTGCATCAGTAGAGCATCACCCATCGTCGCTGCGGGGTCGGGTTCTCGGGCAAAAAGGCGAAGGGAAATATCTTTCCCTGACGGGAGGCACTCACTCAATGGAATGACGTTTTAGCGAACAAGCCCTGCCCATGACGTTTCATCGGATGACCCTTGAGCGAGGGAGGCACTCAGTTGATCGAATGACGTTTGAGCGAACGCCCACGTTTCACCGAATGACACTTTAGCGAGGAGTCGGACGCCGCGAAGCGGCGTTTTCGGGTGGGCCAAATGGGTTCACATTTTTGTAATAAGCCGACGCAGACTGTCGCCGCGAAGCGGCGTAAGCGCAGCGCGGCGGATGGGTTAACGCGCGCCCCCGTTATCCGCTAAAACGTCAATTCGCTCAAATTAGCGTTAGCTTGCCGAACCCTTGGCGGTTCTGACGAGATTTGGTGCAAGTACGAGCCTGAGATTCCCGCGCAGAGCACAGCAAAGCGAGGGGTGACTGCGCTTAGCACGGTCTCTTTGGGAGTACGTTGTCCCGCCGTCGGGAGTTCATTCGCTAAAACGCCAACTCGCTCAAATAAACTCCATTTCCTTACCGTCATTTGCTCATGCAGGATACGATCCCGAGAGTGACGACGTGAGGAGGAGAAAGTGCTGTGCGACTCATGATGCCATGATGCGCCTTCGCCCGTGCCGACCTTAGCGCGATTCTGTGCGGCACCCCAA